AAAAATACACCGGGCGCAGGGTAAACCGATAAATTTTGTGTAACCGACCGAAACGATTACAGTTACATTCCCGAAGATAGCCGGCTCCACCACGAATACGAATCACCGTGAATATTATTTGTCTGCAAAGAATATCGAACCCCGATAACTTATTCAAATTATGCAGTCTGTTTGGACGTTAAACCATATGAATTTAATTTACCTCCGTGTTTTCACGTTTTGTGTGCTTATGAACTGTGCCGATGAGATATTTGGCTGTTTTTCGCGTGTGACTCAGTATTCGAGATTCTTCTTGAAAAATAAATCGAAAACGTAGAATAGAATAGAAATTTTCGCATTCGAACACGTGTTTTGAGATAAAAAAGGTTTGAAAATTTAATAAGTTTTGTTAATTCTTGACTAAATGAATAATTGGTAAAATGATATTTGATAATATTTTAATTTTTTGTACCTCGACTATCAGATAATCGAATTTGAATATGTTCAATCAATGTATATAATAAAAATATAACTTCGAAATTTATCTATTTATTATATTATTAATATTATTTTCTATTTATTTTTGTAAAATCGAAATAATCCCGTATACAGTCAAGAATTAACCAAATTTTCTTAAAAACGAAATTTCAAATGAAAACTTCTTTCGCGATTGCACCATAAATATATATATTAGAACATTGTGAAACAAATATTAACCGTCGCCAAAACAAAAATTATTACGTTTCATATTTTCTAAGAACGAAATATAAATATATAAATTACTATATTATCGAACTATGTATCCGTATGTATCCTTATTATCCTATGTATCCTTAACGTTTTTACGAATAACCTAAATTATCAGACTTATTTTCTTATCACGCGAACTAAACAAATATAAACAAGACCTATGAAAATTCCATGAGATGAGATTATATCAAAATACTTACATTTCTTCGTAGAAAGCCGCATTTTCTCCACAGCATTGTCTAACTCGTGGCCTCATCGTATTAGCTGCATGACTGCCGTTCATTTTATTTTTCATACACACGAGCAAGGCATTAGAATCGGCGCAGTATTCGTTCGGTTCGAATGTGTCGTTCACGTGTATGTCGGGAAGCACGCGACCATCGTCCATGATTACGAATGGATTCGTGTGTCTGTACGGCACATAGGTTAACACCGAATTGTCTTTGCAATCTGGCTTCTTTCCTTCGACGATATTCCATTCTTCTGGCGGAGTATCCAACATCTTTTGTTTGGAAGGCGAATAGATGACAGGTTTCCAATCGAATTGAGTCGATACGCAACGAGACTTGGCGTCCATGTCATTGTCCAATTCTTTCTCCAACTCCTCCATGTGTCGACAACATTTTAGAATCGTCAGTTTCGTTTTCGGAGGTTCGTTCACTGGCTCGCAGAACGTAGAAACAGCTAGTGTCCAGAGAATCGTGAAGAAGTAGATCACCTTCATAGTGAAAACTTTGGAAACAATGGAACGAACGAATGTGACCGAAGAATAAAATCAGACGAACGACACTACATGGAAAAATCGCTCATTCGATATAGCCAATCAGCGATCGATTTGAAAGTTCGATTGTTCGATGTTTGGACAGACGCCACAGACGCCACTATCGTCAAAATTTCGCAAATATAATAATTGCGTATCGTATATAATTGCGTCAAAATTCACTCACTCTTCGCGACGAATATTCAATTTCATGTTCGGCGTAGAATATACGAGAATTTTGAGTCGTTTGGGTCACGCGTCTGTCGTGTTTACAAACAGGTTATACACCATTCCAGTATACGTTTATTACATTATATAAAACGCAATAAGCCAATCAGTCTTTTTCTCATTGTGGACAAACGAATCGCGACGTTATTAACGACACGATAGAATATCGACGAAAATTAACACGAAATAATCGTAGATAGAAATATTTTGGCGCGATATCTCGATAGGCGGACGGGTTCGAGATCGGACGTGACTCACTCGCTCGAAGGTATCGAAGTTACTGAAGCAGGCCGACCACGCGGCTGGCTCTCGAGCCACCGGCGGCAGCGTGCTCGGTGTTGCGCGCGCAGCCTTTCACCGCTCCCGCCCTTATTCAACCACCTAACCTTCTTCTTTCTTCACGTCGGATCTTCTCATAATAATGTTCGTCTCTCGTGGGGTGAGTTCGAGCAACCACGTGCTTCCTCCCACTACTTTGCTTCCTTGCCGGAAGTACAACGGTACCTTGCGTGGAACCCTTCCGTTGTTCCTTGGGAAACTTGTCTTCCGTTCTTCTTTTCGATTCTTCTCGCCATTTCCGCACTTTTGTTTACGATGTCGGTGAAAGTTAAGATGAAGATATTTCATTCTTTTGGAGAATTTTTTAATTTACGAATGAGAAAAATAATCGAAATTCTTTTCCATATTTCTTTTCGATAATTTATTTTGGGAAAATTACGATGAAAGATTTAAGATTAATTAATTGATTAATTTATCGATGTATCAGACGAAAATAACTAAAATTCTCCGATTCTGTTTATTATTTCAATTTGCTTTTATTAAAATCGAAATAAAGATATTTATTTGGGAAAATTTAGAATAGATCTTGACTAATTTATTTTGATGGGATGAAATTTTACACCGTTTTACTCATCTGTTCAAATTTCCGTTCTCTTCGCGAGAAATTTGAATATCCAAGTAATTTCTATCTACTCGTATAACCCAAAGTCAACATCTGTTATTACAAAGTAACCAATGCTCAAATTATTTTTCGGTGAAATATCGTTTCCAACAATACACGCGCGAAATCGTACGTGACCGAGAACACGTTCGATTAAAAATACCTAGCGTAAAATAACGACGAGAATCTGGAAATTTCGCACGACGTTAGGCAAGTTAAACGAGCCGGGAATCCAGAGAAAATCGCTCGCCAAGATCTGAAATCTTGTATACGCCGCTTCCGGGATGATACAATGCTCGGCCGGAATTTGTGAGAAAATATACATACGCCGCCCCTTGCGTTCATTATTATTGACAAAATAAATACATTCGCGATCGTACGGGCACCGATATCGCGAAATTACCATCTCCGCCTATTTATTTTCACCGTGCAAACTTCCTGGCCGCGACCCGATCCACCGATACAGGGTGAGTTTCCGATCGCGTGCAGGTCGACCGATGATAATGACCGAGAATCAAGGTAACAGTAACGCAAGACCGAGTTCATAAACCATCCACCGAAGGCTGCAAGGCCTACCCAAGACACGGTGAGCACACTTTCCACGTAGTGCTCACCCGCTCGTTCCAGTAATTTATAGTCGCGTTATGTGCGGCGCGAGATTAACAGCGTACAGCACGATCCCGTTCAACGAGGCCAGATCGGACAGACAGTGTTCTGTGAACCGTCTTTCGATCTTCGTTACCGCCTATATCCCTCGAATCCTGCTATTTCACCCATTTCCTCTCCGCGGATTTAATCTCGATACGAAGAAAAATCCCTCCCAAGAAACGAGATTCTTCGAGATTCTCGCCGGTATTTTGTAATTAAACTGGCATTGCGGGAGGAAAGAAATGTTGTAAGAAAAAAGAAAAAAAAGAAGTTCTCGCAGAACTTCCGGCTGACGGTCGATCAGAGCGCAAACATCGAAAGTTTCTCGGGCGTTCGATTATAACACGGTTGAAAATTGTTTCGAACGACGGCCATTATTCTCGCGGGGAGGAGAAGCTTTCTCGGGGTAAAAACCGCTTGGACGGCGCCTTTTTACCACCGTCGAAGGGACAAACAAGACACTGTTCCGAGCCGACAAGCGGAAACGCTTTAAAACTTTCGGACGGTGGCAATTAAACTTCTTCGCCATTTCTGCGAGGCGAAAATTGGAAATTTATGTCTACCGCCGCGGTTTGCTGGCGGTGTGTCTGCGAAATTTTGTCAATTAAAGTATCCTTAGCGCCAAGTAACCGCCAAGTGTTACGAGTCGTGGAAAAAAGTCGAAAAACGATAAAAGGAGGAAGGAAAAACAACGTCAAGTCTCGTTTATCCAGAGAGTCTAGATTAGCCAGAGAGTTATTTGAAATTATCACGGAAACTTTCTTCGACGCTGTTTATAAATTTACTTTTAAACAATTATCGAAAAATTCTTATCGAAAGAAAAAACTCTCGTCGATTTCCATTCTTTCAGAAAAGCAGAAAGATATTTAAAAAAATCTTCAATAATATTAATAAATACACTATACCTTATTATATCAAGAATCTTACGATTCCAATTTGTTACGAACATTCTACAAACCTTCACTTGGAAAGATTAAGCGACTCTAATCTGAACGAGGCTTAAGAAAGGCAAATTGTTTGTCGCTAAGCCAGCTGTAATTTTTTTTCCGCCTTAATGCGAAGCTTATAACGAAATTAAGGTCGGAGATGTATGCCGCAATTACGCGGCTGTCCCCGAACGGTTGAAATATCGCGGCTACCGCTCGAGCCCAGCCTGTGCAATCGGCTCTCACCGATAAAATCGTTTTTCAAATTTCGTACGAACGCACGACGAGATATATACATACAATATATATAATATAATATATATAGAGAGAGAGGAAGAGAGAAGTGCAGGGCAGTTATCCCGCTGCACCAGGGTTAATAGGCAGCTTTGGAATTCGAAGCAGCACTGGCACGCGTAAATCACGAGGATCGAGGAACGATCTCGCTCGGGTCGCCTCTATCTCTTTCCCATTCCCTCGCGTGTAGGTACATATACGCGCACCGACGTAACGCGTGCACGCACGTTAATAGGTTTGCGCACGGGGGCGCACGCGCTACATCCCCCTAAACGTAATACAGATTTTATCTACCCCCCCATGGCTCGGCCGTGTCTCGACCAGTAGGGAGAAGGGCCAGACGGTCAGGTTTGATCGAACCTTGTTGCTC